CCCCCAGCAGCCCCAGCCTCCGTCTGGTCCAGGGCTTCAATCTCCCGGCCGGCGCCGAGGCTCTCCATTCGGTCTAGGGCTCCAACCTCCTGGTGTTCCTGGGTTCCTCCAGGGTGTCCTTCTTTTCCTTTTGAAGCGGGTGCACCCTTTTTTGGACTCTGGACATTAGTTGTCATTATTACAGGGGTCGTTTTTTGTTGTTGGTTTCCCTCCTTCCGGGTCCCCCGCCTCCCGCCCTGTTCCTTCTCCTGGAGTTTTGGGTTTTCCTTTTTCCCTCTCTCTCTCTGCAGGTGCTGAATTCCTGGGTGTGGTGCACAGCTGCCGCAGGCCTACATAAGCTCCTGGAACACTCCCTTCATTTTTCAATGATCCAAGTCAGATTGAACCTATTTATCAAGCCTTACCACTCCTCCTGCTGTGGCTTCACACGCTCCAGAGTTAAGATGGGGAAACTCCTTTCCGTGCTCATGATTGCCAAGCGGCCAGCGGAGGAATTGCTGCGATCTCCTCTGCACACTTAGTCCCCCTGACCCATCCCAAAACTACGCACATAACCCCGTGCCCTCCTCAACACTCCAATCTCCGTGATATCTGCTAAGGCTCATCTCCTCTCTATGTCAGCTGTACACCGGCGCCTCGCCCTTTGCCCGTGAGTTGCTGATCTAAGAGACCTAATCTATCCTCTCCCTGTCTCCCTTCTCTCAGGCTCCGATTCTCCGCCATCTCTACTTCCTGAACTCTACGCCTCTCATCTCCACCAGCTCATTATCCAGGCCGGGCTCTCCAGACTCACCCAGCTGCCTGCAAACTGCATTTGCTGCTTGACTAGACTGTTTCTTTTATTCAACCCTCTCATTCTGACTATCACCTGGGTTTTTGCATCAGAGTCCCACTTTGTTTTCAGCGCTCTCACATAACAGTAACAGGCTTACAGCTTTTTATAGTCGGCCATCTCACAGATGTCTGCATGACACACTACAGCACAGAAACAGCAAAGCCACTTCCTCTTCTTATTATAGTCCAAATAGAGAAGTAAGAAAAAAACCAGCCTAACTGGTGTGCCCACTGATTTGGATTACTGTCATTTTCTCTCAGTTCCTTCAGAGAGCCTTCTTGCTTTACTTAGAGCCCAGTTCATACATATTTTTAGTAGAAAACCCTGATCTTTTTTGGGATTATATCAAGACCGCCAGCAATGTAAGTGTTTTCTTCATTTGAATATGTTTTATTTTGAAGTCTGTAAACGCTGACAAAAGATTATTAGTATTGACTTCATTTTTTAGGACACAAAAGAACTCAAAGTAGGAGGAAAACTCACTCTGCCTATCAGTTGTCATTTGTTAGGTACTGCAGTCCAATACCGTTGCATCAGAGTGTATTATTGTTGCATCAGGGTGTATTAACTCAGCTGCTGTCTGGGTGTGTAGCTGGGGTTGCTGAGTGATTCTAAAGCCTGATGATAAAAATTTGATACTTGTGCTATTTTCAACTATTTTAAAGTCATATTTTACACAACAAACATTTAACTGTTTTAGGATTTAAGATCACTTCAGCATCTGTTAATATCATTTTTGGGGACATACAGTAACTGACAATTAAGTATTCACAAATCTGATGTCAAACAGTGCAAGAAATGTGGGTACTGAAACCTGAAAACCTATAAATGTATATGTGATGAATCTAAAAAAAGAATCACTTTTGGGAAAATGTCTTCTGTTTTTAATGAAACAGAACATGACATATAATAGAAACAAAGTCATTTAGAGAGAAAACTAAAACACTGAATAATTTCAGTAAAGTTTTAAATAAAGTATCATTTTATCCAGTAAACTCAAGCTAAGTTAATTCTGAACAAGCATACTAATGTTTCAACATATATATCAGTGTGCATTAGTACCTACCAGTTTTTCTGAACTATATCGTGTTTTTTAAGACATTTAAAAGGCAGCTGCTCATTTCCACTGTGAGCATGTCATGAAATGAACTTTGGTATGTAGAGACAAAGCTGATGTAGGGTCAACGAAACAGACTTTAACATGGAAGACTTGTTGGAACCCTTCTATTGGCAGATAACGTAGGTCTTTGACGCCTGCATCCTATTTTCAAAACTAACAAAAACCTCAAAGGCCAGTACATGCTATGCGACTGACTATCAGGTGTAACCGCTTGCATATACTTATAATTAGAAGTGTATATTTCAATGTTTGAATTTCAGAAGTAATTTTAAACTTAACTGTTATTTCGTGTCTTCTCAGATACAAACATGAAGGGCCTCCTCCCCCTACTGTTCTGCATAGAAATCATACTGGTACAGTTATGTGGAGCTCAGTCTTCAAACACCTCTGGAGAAGGTAGTGAGAATAGTTCATCTGTCTCAGAAAGTGATCCCCCTATAAATGACAGCAGCACGTCTAATGTCAGCATTGTGATGAGTTCTCCACTGTCTTCAACGGTCTCCCAGGTCTCAAGTAGTCATTACATTTCATCTTTACCTCACCCACTTTCCACTACCGCCAAGCCCACTACCACAAAGTCCCCCACCACCACCACCATTACCACGACTACTTCCACCATTGCAGCTAAGTCAATATTTTCCAAGAAGGAATGTATCTCAAGTTTGCTGGTGGCCGGCGGACTGATGATACTCTGTGTTATCCTGCTGGTTTCTAGTTTGTTGTTGACATGGAAGGTGTGCCACTTGAACAGACGCCTCAAGATGCTGAGCAGCAATAGTGACCTGGTCAGCAACACTGAATACTGGATGGGAAATGCCAAGAAGAACAAAAGCAATTCCAAAGAGGAAGCCAAAGAGAGCAGCCTATTAATGGCTGATTTCAATAATACACAGGAGAATGCTGGCAGTGATGCTACCAAGGAAGAAGGAGGGAAGGTAAACATGGACGGACAGATGGGAGATGAGAATGAGGAGGAGAAGGGAGACACTGGCAAAAGCGACGAAGCTTCAGCAGCTGGGAATATAGAGGAGATGCCTGTAACTGATGCTGAAAACGCATCTTCTTCAAGGCCACCAGAGGGTACCACTGATTCCCAGGTCACCAAAGATGGAGCAGCTTCCTCCTCTGAGGGCAGAGAAGAACCACAGGATGTGGTGTAGAGATGTGTGGCAAAGAGTTTCTTGAGCAACTGCCTTCACTTCTCCACTGCTTTACAACCCCTTTGGTGTATATTAGGGATGATTTTTTTCAGCAGCTTTTGCTTTACAGTAAGTTCAGTGTTAGGGAGTAGTAACTGATATAATTAAACTAGTAGTTTAACTACAGGTCCTTTATTTAGACCCGTGTTCAAGCTGTTCATGCTGTCTATAAAGGTCCAAGTTGAAGACTGTTTTAGTTGCTCAGATTGTACAAGCCAGCTCAGAAAGACAGCAGCTCCATTTTTACACCCATGCTCAAGTCGGTCAAATGGTCTAAAAGGGTGCACGTTTTTTATTTTTTATTTTACTGTTTTACTTGTAGTCAGATGATACAAAATCTATATAACATTCCTAGCAATTGTATGTGCATATTGTATGTGTATATTGCATGTGACGCTTTTTTTTTGTTATAATATAGTATCACATGTACATTGTCAGTTTCATCCCTTTTTTAACCAAGTAGTTTGAACTATTTTTTCTAAGTAGTATGGTTTATTTCTTTCTTATTTGTGTGTTATAAATATATATCATTATTTTTAAAGTACACTCTGGTGCGGGTCAACTTATGTCTAAGACATTTCACTTTTTGTTAAGTGATCTATGACATTTATGACATAGAAACATACTGTATGAAACAGCCAGACAAATAAAATATGTTGCATAGCTCTGACAATTTAATCTGCTCAATAACTGGCAACACATCACATGCAGCAGACACACTGGCCTCAAGCAGTCAAAACAAACAGGTACTGTGCTCCGGGCAAATCCAGCATTGATGAGCTGATCATTCACTGGTGCGTGGGCTTCACTGGCCGGCTGCTTGTAGGTTAGACCTGTTCAGGTAAAACAGGAAGATTCCTGGACATGCAGTAACCTCAGGCCCTGTACATTTCTCCACATCCTCTGGTCACAGTGCAGCAGCAGGAGGAAAAATACTGTATATCCACAAAACCACGTGAAGTCAAAAGATTCTGCTTTTACAATGGCACCTGTGGATGTCAGGCAAGCTCACTTGAACACACAACTGCCTGGAGATTATAAGGAAATCCTTAAACTATTTTGTTAGAAAAAAAGTCTTGCAAGCAAGAGTTTAAAAGACTTGTATAAACCAAACTACTTCTCCATAGAAATACTAGAACATACTGTATGTATACCTCAGTTTTTGAGCTTTAGGTCACATCTAAGATGAGAATTCACTGTTGTAACGTTGTAGATAAATCAGAAAACAAGGAAAAGCATGCCATGGGCTCTTTAATTTAGTTGTGTTTGTGTAAATTGTGTGTTTGTGTGAGAGAGAGGGGGGAGGGGATTTGCTTGATTAGCAAGCAGCGGATGCACCTCTTCTGGGCAGTGGCATTAAACAGAGAAAGAATGATCACTTTCACCTCAGCCACAGCTGGCAAGTCACACAAAAAACCTTTTTGAAAAACCAATATGGGGTTGTTTCCTCCGTTTTGTGCAGATATTTGTTTATCTACCAGTGACATCATGATGGACACGCACCTTTCATTTAAAAGCCTGAATACAGTTGTTTGTTCACCACAATAAAGCCTCTGCTGAACTGGCCCTGAATCTAAACCTTCAATTCTGCTGCAAAAGCAAGAGGAGGAAAACACCTCAGCTTGCGGTAGCTTTGGGTGATGTGCAGTTTTAGAGATGGACTGTGGTAAAAAGCCATGCTCAACAAAAGTAAATGTCCAACTTTTGTCTGTACTTTACATTAGGTATTCAGAATTAATGAGGTAAAACTTGGATATGAGGGATTTGCATGATTTTTCTTTCTTCTGCTTGAGTGTGTGGTAACAGCTCAAACTGACAGCATGGCAGGTTTCACAGTGACTGAGAGTGGTGGTGAAGTTATGTATTTGAGGCTTGTTGGAAGTGACAGCATACAGTACATTTCAACACAGTGTAGGTAGCTAATGGAAATGAAAGCAGTAAAGAGAGGAAGTAACTAATATACTGCAAAAGAAAAAAACTGAAAATGAATACAGAGAGGAAGTAACTAATATATTGCAAAAGAAAAAAACTGAAAATGAATACAGAACAGCAAAGAAGTGCTGCGGCTGCTTAAACCAGAACTGTTTAGTGATAAATGATTGTATCGAATTGTTGACTTTTAGGAGATTAGCTGCTAATTAACCTCTGCATCAGCGTTGATCTGTTCCTTAGAACACAAGGTGGCAAAGTACAGCAGTGCAGTGCAGAATGGAGAGTTCCCTGTATTGCTGACAGGTAGGAAGCTGCAGTGGAGAAAGACCTCTGCAATAAATCTTCAAGCTTTTTGTGGCAGCCTCTAAATTTAGATAGGGAAAATAACAACCAATTACAGAACACTATTACTTTGTAAAGGGATACTTAGAGATTGATTTATCACCTATTGATTTGTTATCACCTATTGCAGATAATAGTATAATCTATTTTAAATACAAAGAGGAACCACAACGAGAGCTATCACCTAAAATGCAGAAGCTAATGCTAAAAGCTGCCAGGTACCTTCCATTGTAGCAGCCTCATATCCAGGGATGCCTCCGTTACACACTCCATTTCTCCTTACCCCCTCCTAATACTTTCCCCACACCATCACCCCATCCCCTCCCCTCTCGCTTCCACTGCACAGTGTGTAGAGCCTGCAGTGCCTGATCGCACAAACCCCCAAAAATCCATATAAGAGGCAACAGAAATTTCACTGGCAGACAAAGAGGACCAAACTGCAAGGCAGTGAAGGCAATCTCAAAACCCTGCACTGGACAAGTAAGCAAGGGTCAAATTTTATGAGGGTAATTCGGGCATAGAAAAAAGTTTACCTTCAGCAGAGCAGCAGCTGGTCCTGAATTTGAAAGCAGGGGAGGAAAGGGAAGAGTGGCTGGACAGCAAAAAGGCGCAAGTGACTGGAATGATAAGATGAGAAGGTGAGTTATGGACAAATTTAAAGACTCTTTTTACACACAGACTGTGCCACACCCTGGTTCACATGCTATAGTTTTATCAGTGTAGCTGTGGCTTTTTCTTTGCCTGCCTCTGGTCCAGCTGATGCATGAGTTCTCTGTGGAGCCATTAATAAAACCCATCTACTGAGCTAGTTCTCCTCCTTTGAGAGAATGAGACTGACTGCACTGATAACTACTGATGACTGAACACGCCGACTGAAGCCAAGGAAAGTGACTACAGGGATTTCTCATCCTTTCTGATGAATTATATTTTTGAATAGATTAGAAACATCCTCTTACAGATCAGGTCACAAGTTTATCAGTTATAGGAAAGGACGCATTTAAACCAGTAACTGCATCCCTAAGACATGTCTTCATAATTAGTGGAGTCAGTCTATTACTGTGTGTACCTGCAGGCAATGCAGCGATGTGTAGAAACACTGAACAGCCTGTGTGTGTGTGTGTGTACAGTATGCATGTGAATAAGCGTTGTGTGTTTCTGTGTATCTGCATGACAGAGAGAAAGCAAGAGATTCTTGCAGAGGATGGAGCTACAGTATAACGAAATAATGAAACCAGCTTTATTCAGCACAGCCCTCTGCAGTTACAGTGCTTCTCCTACAAGTAGCAAACATTTGTGTCCTGTATTCACTATCCAAGCACACTGCATAAATCACCTCTGCTCTAACTGTATGCATCCTAGAGGCAAAAACTAAAAACTGTATCTCCCCATCTTTCTGTTTTCAGGCATGTGCTCCTGAAGCTTTCCCCTAATAAGGCCCTTCTGGGACTAGTGCTTGTGTTGTTGCTGAGGCTGCATGTCCTAGCCGTGTGTCCCTCCATGTGCTCCTGCAGCCGCAGCCACAGGGAGGTGGACTGCTCCTGGAGGGGTCTCAGACAGTTCCCTGAAGGCCTGCAGTACAATATGCGTGTCCTCAACCTGTCCCACAACCAGTTGCACAACCTGGATGGTAGGCTCACAGCATACACCCATCTCCGTGTGCTCGATTTGTCTCACAACCGGCTGACCCGCCTACCTGCTGGCTTGCCTCGTTCGCTCTGGCAGCTCTACACCACTTCAAACCACATCCAGCTGCTGGACAAGAATGATACGGTCTACCAGTGGAATCTGCGAATGCTTGATCTCTCAAACAACAAACTGGAGCGGGCTATGTTCATCAACAATACACTGATTAATCTGTGTACACTAAACTTAAGCCACAACCACTTCTGGACTTTGCCCACCAACATGCCTATACACCTGGAGGCTATTGATCTGTCCCACAACTTGCTTGTGAACGTGCTTCCAGGCTCTCTGGACCGGCTTCCCAGGCTAACTCACTTATATCTGCATGCTAACCGCTTTCACACAATGCCTTTTGGAGTGCTAGACAAACTGACATCACTTAAACTCATCACTCTAGGTAACAACCCTTGGGCCTGTCACCTTTATGCAGACATCGCATACTTGTTGTCATGGACTCAGAGTACCCCTGTCCATGTCCTAGGCTGCCCCTGCCACACCCAGCCTGTCTGTGGAGGGGTGCGCCCTGGCAGCACTGGAGGGTGGCACTTTGCCTCCTACAACCTGCCCCCTCTGGCAGCCAGTGCCCAGGACCTGAACTCCATGTCCCATGAAACTGGTGTCACTGGGTGGTGGTACATGTCTGTTTCTGCTTTCCTAAGCTCCCCAAACCCCCACAAAGAGACTCTGAACACACAGCACCAACCTTTCACAGACACCCCCATCAGCATCTCCACCCTGCCACCCAGACACACAGGAATGCACCTAACCATTAATCACCTTTCTGCAACCACTGGCCCAGCTGCCAGCGATCACATACTCCACACTGATTCCCATCTCCTCTCCGGCACAACGGAGGCCCCATCCACTGATTCACTCCACACCACAGATCCATCCATTACCAAAACGCCTGTCAGTGCTGCCATGACGCTGCCCACAGACTTCTTCTTTACAACAGAGAGCCCCTCCATCCAAACAAAGAAAACAGCAACACTTCGCACCAGGAGTGTGAGAAGGCAAAATCAGTCCCGTCCTAGCGGCATCGGCAACAGCAACTCGGCTCTTGCTACTTGCTCCTTGCTCCCTTTCCTAATCAGCCTGGGGCTTCTGTATCTCATTCTGCAACAAGGTCTCTGAAAGACAAATGAAAATCAATGAGCTCAGTGTTAAATCTGCATATCCACTTACAGCACACACAGGTCTGTTGACTGTAGCACTGTTAGGTTTGTTACCACTTTTCTCCTGCTAGAATAACATTGACAATGACAGACTTTATAATAAGTTTCATAATTCCCGCTATCCAGAGTGGTACAATGCTACTTTTATAATTATATATAAAAAAGAATTCTTTCATTTTTCTAATGACACTTTTTATTGGCCTCCCCTTGAATGTCACAGATTGAAAAAAAACATTGTAATGATTATAGTTAAGCACATGATGGCACTATACATTCAGGTACCATCTTGGTGCTCATCTCTCATATCTTTATTTTCCCCATTTGTCTACAGCTGTTGACTGAATTCTCAGATGTTTCCTTGATTATACTGTGGGCATATTTTTTTTATTTCTTTTTTTTTTTTCAAACATTTGACATTCAAAGTTCTTATTTATCCTTCCCGACTCTTCAGCCTTTTTTACTAGCTGTCCTTGATGCCTGTTGGCTAGTTTTCCATAACTCTTTCTGGAGACACTTCACTGTCAGACACTTGTCATGACATGTACATAACAAGGAACAACAGAGACTCTGTAAAACAGAGGGCAAACAAATGGATAATGTCACATTGCTATCTTTAACAAACTCTCAGTGCCGAGTACTGCTTCTGTATTTTGATCACATCTCAGAATTAAGTGTCCTTCATGATTCAGTGACACTTGTGAAAATGCTCTGCATGATGATTGAACATTCTGGGAATGATAACCTACTGCTATATTGCTGGAGAGTATTAAAGCACAGAAAATTTCAGCTTATTTATATGAAATGTTAAGATATTCAAATCTTGATTGCACTGAGCAGAAATAGGGGCAATGTGCCAGCCTACAGATTTTCACATAAGGTGCTGGTAAGAAAGCTAGAAGGAATTTATTGCAGCATGCTATATATATACATACATATATATTGCTTCATACTGTACTGCTGACTGTTCGTTTTAATTTAATCTCAGTGATTAAGTTTCAGGGAAGTGGTCAGACACACTGCATTTTGATTTTCGGTATTCAAAGACTACAAGATTTTTACATAGGTGTCAATACTAATGGGTGCTGCAGTTGCTCACTGTAAAAAAAATTTATTAAAACAGTAACTGGTTCAGATTTATTTCAAAGCATCGATTAGTTTTTAAAACGATTCATTAAGGAAAGGTCCACTCTAAGCACAAAAACCTTCAGGTCTGGTTTTAGTCAGACCTTGCCTCACATCTGGAATCTGCCCAGAACAAACACTGTCTTATCTTTTAGTGTGTTGAGCAGTCACTCCCAAATATAAGGTCCAACTTATTTCAAGAAAGATTAGTGAAAAAGAATCATCTGGTCTATGCAGAAATACAGAGGCCGTCCCAGTGTGTGATCTATATATGAACCTTATTGACATCTTGAGGAGACATGAGATCATCTCACATGCTGGAACATCTGTGACAGAGGACGCAGGGCGCCATCCCGTCACTGCGTGGCACAGGAAGGTGAGAGCCAGGCCAACAGGTCACCATGTGGTTCAGATGGGCACAGCCCAGAAGAGCGATACAAAGTCACTTGTTACCACCCACATGGTGAATGATAAACATCTGATGCAATGCCAGTTGGGCCGTGGATCACACCTGAATAGCTTGTCAAAAAAGGGATCATTTCAAATCAAAACATTCCCTTGTATAAATATTCATAGAAAGCTGTAAATACTATGCAACTGGACGTAGTTTATGATAGTTAAACAACACTGATTAAACAAAGAGAAATATATCCTTCTTAAGATTTACTGAATAACAACACTATAATAAATGTCAGAAAGAGTGAAAGAATGACCCCTAGACTAACCTTTATACAGAAAAATCAAACACCTGTTTAATAAACTGTGTATTAGTAGCTTAGAAACAGAAGCCAAAATGTACAGAAACTTGTAGTTGGTTTATTGTTTATTTATAAAGATGATTCAAGGTTAAAAGAAAGGTAATAATCCCCTCTATTCTCAGTTTCTCTTTAAAACTCAAATCTTCATTTTATCATTTATTCTTAATTATTTTATTGGGTTTATTCTGATGCAACACAAATTCCTGTCATTATGCAGCACTTGCCAGACCTAATTTATGGAACATGAAAAGACAATGTGCGTGAAAATGATGATGAAGTGCAGCTGAGGATCTGATCCTGAATACCTGATGCACCATTTGTGTTTTATTGAGGTTGTTTTATGTTTTCTTTCTTTTTTTTTTTTTTACTTTTTTTTTTTCCTCATCCATTTGGCTCTAGAACTTTAAAACATCTCTTCCAAATACTGCACGTGCCTGTGTGCTGACCTGCTAGCCAATTATTTTCTCTGTAGACAACACAAAGTAATGTCAGATTTCTCTTCTGGCTTCTCCTAATAACTGACAAGGTGTAGACAGCTAGCATCATTTACTGCTGCCATGCTTCCCCTCTTCATCTCTCCAGCTGGGATTGTTTGAGTCAGCTCCATTCTTTCTTTTAGCCACTCACCCTTGGTGTTACTTCTTTGTACTTGGCAACCCTACTGGCCCCTTGTGTTCTTGTATATTTAAGTCCCTATCAGCTTTATATATCACTCTGTTCAAACAATGGCACTCATTGTGAGTGTATCAAAACATTGTGTTTCTATTAGAATATGTCTTTGTTGCTGAAAGTGGCCATTTTCTTTTGTTTATGAAGAGTACTCCTTATAAAGTTGGCTAACAGATTCTTAGTGTTACTTTGCAACTAAACATCTTTTCTGAGAGTGTAGACAGCAAAAGGGGAGTTCAGACAAATGACCAGAATTATAGTTGTTCCTTTATCTGCAGCCCTTAGAAGTCACACAGTCTTTCTCATGCATAAGAAAGGCCAGCAGGCCTGTAGGTGATGACCTAGTGGGTGATTTTTGACTCATGCCTTCTAGAAGGCTCATAGGAGGCTTGTCACTTTGAACCATGTCTATGAATACTCATGTAATCTAAGTAACATGTGCTCTATGCGCCCTCGTGTGGCGAACAGACAGAAATGAATGTTTATCCCAAAACACTGCAGCCAGAGAGAGATACCTCAGTGAGAGACTGTGTTCTTCACCACGACACAACGTGCCCTTGACAGAGACGGTTCCCAAGGACCTCTAGAACTAGAAATCTCGCTAGCCTGAGAGTGCACAAAAAACCATGCTGCCCAACAATATTTGTGTTACTGCAATGAGAGGACTATAACTGATAACTTACATGCAACACTTAGACACTTTGTTGCAAAGTTGTGGCTGTTTAACTAATATTGTTCTCATAGAATGTCATAATACAAACACCGAATAAGGAAATAAAAAGAGGGAGAGCAAAAGATGAATGATAGGACCCTCCTGCACTGAAGGGAAACCTTTTCCTGAGGAAAATCATGACAATTACTGTAAATAACCAGCAACCTACAGGCCTAATGTGCACCTAATGTAACACCATTATCACTATGACAGACTAAAGCTAACGCGCATGGCGATACACAGAGTGACAGGCCTTGAAAGGGGCACTGCAGCCTACTCATGGCTAAAACCAATAGCTGCCAAATCTAACCTCTACTGAGCCTGTGACACAGGCTCAGTAGAGGTTTGTAACCTAGAATTAGGCTGGTATCCAACCAAAGGATGCTTAAATGTTGCACATAAAATTTATCTGATAAATCTAATCTGTATTGACAGCTTGGGTCTATATACCAAAGCTCACAATCTCTTTGAGCCAAGAGCAATGTTTTCTAGTGTGGGCACTGGTCAGCTCAAAAGCAAAATGTATAGGAATCTGGAAGGAATAACAAGGCCTCCACCGGCAGCCAGAAGACTGATGAGACAGGCAAAATTCAACCCTGCAGCAGAGTGGGGGGAAGCTGAGGATATGGTATCTCTTGCTCTTGTCTCAGTGGCACAGACAAGGCAAGGTCAGTGTTGAGGTCAGTGATTGCAGAATAGGAAGTGGTTAGCAACTGAGAAAATATATGGTGGCAGCCTGCAAAGGGGGGAAAGGCAAGCAAAAAGAAAAAGAGAAAGAAGAGGCTAGCAGAAAGCAAACAATGAGCCAGAAGACGCAAAGGTGTGCTTACTGTTCTTAGCCAGTGGAATTCTTTTTAAGTGTCTGAGGCACAGCACATAAAGTCAGAGAATGTGAACAAAGCTGGGTATAAGAGTTCTGCAGGCTAGTAATCTGTCAGTCTGTCCCTAGCAACAACAAATGCAGCTGTTCGCATGCATGAGTGTGTCTTCACACCATTATAAAGAGTGTGTGTTGTAAATTCGCATGATTATCTAGAGAGCATGGTGCACAGCTGTCTTAAGGAGGATTTCAACAAAATTTACTTTGACAGAGAGTGTAAAGATATAAATTTGGGGATGGCAAACCCAAAATCAATCTCATTTTACACTGCTGGAAAAAAAAATACACATACTGTGTATATAACTGACATGACTGAGGCAGTTTCACATTCAGTTTCTGTGTGGGGAGGGGGGGTATCATTTCTTCTGTCTTGACAAAGCTCTCTAAAAGGCCAATGTGCACATCTTTCTCCCCGCTGCTGACTGTACAGGTGATAGGATGGCTCTTCGCAATGCTTTAATACTGCTTGTCATCATCTGTAACACACGGCTCTCTCTGGAGTCGTACAAACAGCAGCCAGAACATTCCAAGGAGCAGCAGGGGCAGGAGCTTATCTCCCAGCCCAGTGGAGCAGGTAAATGATGTCGTCATCATCCACTTGACTTGAGCCTGATTGGTCTAAAAGAGCCCCACATGTAAATGGTCTTTTAATACTGAGGTTTAAAAAATGCAGATCAACTTGTTTGGGTTGTATTGTAAACACTGAAATTTATGTTTTTCATTCTGAAAACCTCTGTTCAATTTTCTGTTCATGCAGTATTTGTGGATTATACTGTACTTTGCAGATAGTTTTACTATAAACTACCTTGTTTATATTTGTAACACTCTGAGGAACAATCTGCAATTAAGTTGTCTTTGGGCGCCTGGTACAAGGAAATACTTCATTTTTGGAAACATAATTTGGAAGCCTTGTGGAGCTTTATGCATTTGAGATATTTCAAACGCTAATATTACAGTTTAATTTTTAATAATGTGGATGTCTGAATATCATACCATCTACCTGAAATGCTAATGTGAAGCCTTGGGCGCAGCTTAATTAACTCATCTGCGTAGTTACAGAAAGCATAATGGGGTAGAGAAATCATTCATCACCAGTACATCCTTCCTAGTGATCTGACTTCAAACAGTTTCTCTATGTGGTTTCGAAGGTGCACATTTCCTGTAATCCCCACATATCATGACTGGTCAGCAAGGGTTTTACACAACCACTAATGGAAAATCATTTCCATCAGTGATGAGAAAAGAATTTTTATTTATTAAATCAATCAATTTATCATTCAGTATATGGATGAAATAGACTTTTATAAGATGCTAAATTATTCCAGGCAAGATGAAAGTGCAGGTAGACTGCAGCTTGGTGGGTGGCTAATTCCTGAAATAGGACTGTCAATTATGCATGTTTCAGTCTGGTCTGGCCCTCTCCTTGCAGCCTTAGAGGTGCTATCAGCCAAAAAGAAGCAGAAAAGGAAAAGACACTAGAGGGAGACAATTTCTTCACATCTGCAGTCTTCGCAACATCTTTTCTCAGGATTCTGAATTTTGCTATAATAGGCCCTCCTGAGGAAAGCAGAGATCACTCAATCCCCAATGATCAAAATGAAATCATTCACAAAATCCAAAGGATAAAATTAACCACCATCTCAGGAGTGTTAAAATAATATCCATAACAAATTCATGTAAATGATGGAGGATATTTACTCTGAGCTCTGTTTTAGTGTTGAATTATATACTGGATTCTTTGCATGCCTAAAAAATGTGGTGAGCCTCTGAGGTAGTTATGTGAATTATGTTTCAAGTTTCACTTCAAAGTATGGTATAAGGAATTATTTATTATGAATACTTTTGTATTTCACTCAGATTATATTTATAGGAATATAACTAAAGAAAATTTGTGATATAAGAATGATTTCTGCAAGATCAGGTTCTCTGGATGCAATGCTGATTACTGCAACAGAAAACAGGATGCCTTTTCTCAAAACAGCATCTCCTAACACTGTCTGCGCGTCTGCTGCTTCTCTCACTTTCTTTTCCCCCTCAACTCTTTCACACACTATCAGTTTTACTTCTCTCTCAATCCCCAAATCCTTTAGTGTTCACACAAAGGCTTGATTTGTTACAAGCTCTTTTTTGCATGCCGAGTTTCTTGTCTATTAAGAAGGAGTTTATCTTTAAGCACTGAGTAGAGGCTAAAGTCATACTGATACAGCTATATAACTTTAGAAATGTTTGGATTTTCCCTTAATGAGGAGTAAATAGTAAATTATGACTCAATACAGATTGGTTTGAAGCATGCAGGATGTAAAAATATGGCTAGGTCTTCATCCACACCCATTAATCACAGTGTCTAACTGCTGTCACCTTTATTAATGCTATAAAGCTGTGGTGATATTACTGTGTGAGCAACAAAAAAAGTTTGTTCATACATCCTTTGGAGTAAAATATCACCCTTTTCTTTCCTCCTCACTCAGTGCAAAAGATTCAGCTGCTCCAAAAACATAGCTGTCACCGCACCTAAAGTTGCTAAAAGGGGGATAAACATTTTAGGTGCTTTAATCAAGCAGTGGTGGCTGCTCCAATTGAAGGAGAACGTGGCTCAAATTAAAAAAAAAAGTATACATCTTTCTCTTTCAATGAGTGTAAAAAAGATCTGGAGTCATAAATCTTGTACCAGTCTTATTCTATAACTTATGAAGAATTTTGTGCTGAAATATGGGTTAGTTGACTGTACTACCAAAGAGTCTAAAGAGTACAGGGTGTGTTTGCAGTGGCATGAGATTGATTTGGTTTCAAATGGTGCACAGCCCTTGATCAGATATTGTAAAACATCACACCTACTGTATCTTTTCTATCACATTTGACGTTGCTCTCTTCATGGTATAATAACAGAAAATAGAAAAGCTAAGATAACAATGTAAAAAAAAAAATCAGAATAATTCACAACCGCACTGTGAAACCTGGTCCTCTGTGGTTTTATTTGAGCAAAAAAACAGAGGTTGTACTTCATGTGTTACATCCACTATGATATTTTTGGACACCCTGTGATGAGCTTTAAAGCCTGTTGTTCCTCAGAGCTCATTTTTCGTGTCAATTTATAACCTCCCTCACTTCTGTCTCTGTGCAGCTGTATGAATTGATTTTTTTTTTTACATTCACATTTTAGGGATATACTGCAGGACGCTGCCACACCATTTGACAACTTACTGAAAAGTATTGTGATCATAAAGGTATCACTGTATGGCATGGGACAGAACAACAACAGTCTTTCACATAAGGTGTCATATCTTCATATTTTCTTTGACACTCCTGTATTACAAGGAATCGCCACCAATTGCTTCTATAGCTGTGTTTCAGAGATACAGACAGCTGGAATGTGAAGCATCTCCTTAGTAGTGACAGACTTTTAGCTGTTTAACTGTCGAAAGTGTTGTTATGTGGGTTTTATCTCAGTCATTGTTTCAAGAACATGCTGCCTGGCCAGATAAGAATTTCCCTCTGGTAGAGCTCGGTACAGTCAGCACAGACAGGCCTATTCAACAAACTTCTGAATGTTAATAATGAAATCGGATCCCCAGTCACACTTCATACAGAGCTTGGGATGTTGTGTATTCTCAAGCTAAGATGCATGAAAACTGGGTTTATATATTTGTTGTCTGACTTCTGTGAATCTGACATGAATACAAATGAGTTATATATCATTCAAAATGTCATTTGTACTGAGATTTTTCCCTTATGTTCTACTTTGGAAATAATGTATATCAAAATGCTCCCATTACAAATGTTATGCATTATTGATAATTTCTTACCCTGCTTCTTCTTCTTCAGCCTACTTTGCACAGAGTGCAGGGCTGGCAGCTCACTATATGTCATCCACTTAAGGAGATCTATGATTACTCAACTGTACATGTGGATACCAGGCCTTATTGACCCCCATAGGAAATTTTTTTTTTCATGGCTTTATTTATGGTTTTTAAAATGAATATAGGGTTTAAACGTCACACTTCGGGGTCACTTGCAGAGAATATCACAGACCTTTCTGCAGGCTTTGAACTTGCCTGAATTTTACGGCTCAGAAAAGTTTCTCAAATAATCAACCCCCCCTTACCACCAAAGATTTGACACCATTTAGTGCATTGTAAATCAGGTCCTCTGTGTACTCTGAGCTGCACTGGAAAATTGTCTGTTAATGTGGAATGTACATTATACCATCGGTGATAAATGCAGGCTTGCATTGCTGGTAGTACTGCATAACTGTACGCATCATACGTAAAGCTGCAAGGCTCATTAAATGCATACATACTGTAAATTCAAATGCATTCACCAAAAAAACCTCTTATAGGCAAAAAGTATAACTTGCAGTGGTATAATTTTCACCATAAAAACAAACAATACAGTGTTTGAGAATGCAAGATTCAATAATTATTTATATTTAGTTGTTAATATGTCCAATAATTATTCAATAAAAAACAGATCCCACTTGACTGGTATTGCAAAATGTCTATATTAAACTTTTTGTATGTTGACCGTTGTTTGTAGATTTTTGCAGCGAAACACAAAAGATAAAACACTCATGAGACATTTATGCATTAAATATAAACAAACAAATAGGAATTGACCCACTTTTCACTGGCAGCTAAGGGACTATATTGCATGGCGGAAGAATAGCACAGTTGCAATAAAAAAATCTTTTCAGCTGAATGACATGATAAAAAAATTACTAATTAAAAATGACATTTTCATGACATTTTTTTTTTGTCAGTGCCTTGTGTCCACTGATTTAGAAGAGCAATAAGCCACTTTCACCTCTAGTGGCTTATTGCTTAATTAAATGACAAATCGGAGGATTGGTTTGCAGATTGCCTGAACTGACGTCAATTGGATTGGTTAGGTGACAGAGCTAGGCTCCGCCTCCTGTGGGCCAAGGTAGAGCATGCTGAGAGAGGGAGGAGGGAGCAGGGGGCTGAGCTGATCCCACGTGTGACGCTTTCATTCCCGGCTCAGTAATATTCTCGTAGCGGGGCTTTGCATATCTCCTGCTGTATCTGTGTGTCTGTCACTGTTACTGTAGTCCCAGCCTATAGTTTGGAATAGATATGGAAGGAGACGGGAGTCAAGCCACATCCGGAAGCCTAAATGATTCACAACATGACCCGGGGTAAGAATCTTTCTGAATTTAACGCTAAGGTACGATTTTTTTTCATGTTACAACATCTTGGAGAGGACTTCGACTGCCGTGCTGGATTCGTCCCCACAGTACGCACTTAAACCGTGCACGGGTCTGTTTCCAGATGCAATTTTTAAAGACCTCAGCTTTGTAGCAAGAGTGGCTCCCCTTCCATGTAGATTGACTGTAATTACTAAGCGCGAGTGTGTTTTTATAGTCTTCCTTTATCCTTTAAGGTCGCTTTTAGAAGTAGTTAGTCGTCAAAATGGCCGAACTGACATCTGGACTCACTTCTGTTGTGTTTTCCCCCTACAGTAAAATGTTTATCGGTGGCCTCAGCTGGCAAACCTCACCAGGTGAGACTATTATTCTCTTTTACACCGTATCCGGTATTTCTTGTTGTTTTGTCGCTGTGACTGAGTGCCCGTTGTGGCTGCTGGCGGTGTATGTGCGAATGTGCGCTGTGCAGTAGTGTACTGTATGGGATATCTCAGTAGTATGTGCGCACGATGTTATTTTTGATCTCCGTCCATCTGAAGTCCTCTATTCGACCCCTGTGCGCATCGCGGGGTGTTTTTGAAATACAGTGACAACAGCATGCCCATATGTTTCCATCAAATGACCCGACATATTTTTTCTCTTCACAGACAGCCTTAGAGACTATTTTAGTAAATTCGGAGAAATAAGAGAATGTATGGTGATGAGAGACCCCACGACAAAACGCTCAAGGTAAACGCAGGGCTTTTCTACTTTTCCTTTCGAGTGCATGTAACCATATCGCTTACTTTGTCCGTGTTTAGTGTTAATCCAGCGAGTGTGTTTCTGTGTCTGCGCGCGCATGTACTCGTGCGCGCGCGCCTGTGTGTGGTTTCACAGCAAGCCAGATAAGCTTAAATGCTCACTGCTGTAAAGCTGCGGCCGAATGCAATTTGACATTGACTTTGTGACTGCACCACAGTGTTGGTGTAGTGTCGTCTCATATGGTAATATAGCAGAGAATGATCAGCACTGTGCACTGTTTCAGGCTCCAATCCGTTACAGGACGTCCATAACCGGGATTTTAAATACATAACAAGGAAATATTTTGACAATAATAAGGTCATATTATCGATTATAGGTAAAAAAAAAAAATATATATATACAGCGTACAGTTCTGACATTTTCACTAGCAAGATGCAATATTTTTATTCATTGCTATTTTGAAGAAAAAAAGAATGTAAATTGTAATTTTTGGTTTTGTATTTATGCATTTTAACGTTGTTTTTGTCTTTGTTTTGCAGAGGATTTGGGTTTGTTACGTTTACAGATGCTGCCAGTGTAGATAAAGTCTTAGCTCAACAACACCATGAATTAGACTCAAAGACGGTGAGTTGATTTTATTTTTACTTACACAGTGTTTATTTCTTGTTTTGGTTTCCATTGTGTTGCAGGTGACCCCCCCCAGTCATAATTGTGTGACATTTTTCTGCCTAAGGCCTTGTTGGGAAACACCTTTTAGGTTTAGCCGGCTGTGTGGAATCAAGGTCATGTATAAGGACTAGATGTATGATGGTCCCGTCAGCACTGAGCTTAGCAATAAAACTCAACTCCAGGGTGAATAATACCTGTATATGTGTTCATGTTCACTTCTCTGGGTGAATGAGGCTGACACGTCTCCTTTCTTCTGTGCAGCCACATGTGCGGTGTACACATATCTCATGTTCTACTGAAGGGCGTCCAGGTCTGCTGCTTCACTGCAGTTTGACCCAGCTGTTATTTCATTGCATCATGCTCAATGCACAGTGTGAAAAGTAGGTTTAAAACAACACATCCCAAAAATAATGTACTTATACTATAATGTTCTATAATAGTGAGCTTAATTAAGTTGAATCAAAATATGTTTCAGCAAAGATGCTACTGTAACTAACTGGTTATCGTAATGTAATATAATTTGACTATATGAACGTAGCAGTATTACATAAATCAGTGAGGAGTACGTCAAACGTTTCCTGAAAATACAGTCCATTCATGCACATCCACCCAGACACTTGTTTGTGAAAAACTTTGTTGGATTTTACTTTGCCCTTTGGAAATTTGTCAGTAGATGAATAATTAAACATGCTAGTCATTTTGAGAGATGTCTGTAGTGATGGATTAGATAGGGTTCAGTGGAAGTTATATTTGTCTGGGATTTCTCCTCGGTAGGTGATAATATCCAGATATGCCATCGTAGTTTCAGAAATGGAATAATGCGTGTTGAGGAAACATACTGTGTGTGCCATCGTGGCTGAAGGTGTCTTTAGATGGAGGAATATTTTTCTGGATTTTTAAAAGACAAATAGATTGTACTTAAGGTGGCAGTATATAATAGGTTTATTATGAAATCTCAGCATCTGTAAAGGATGTGGCAAGTAATGTAAATCTAAGATTTTTTTGCTCATATCCTTGAGCTCAAGTGTGATTGGCACAGAGATGAGAACACTTGACATTCATTGGCCAGTGGATTTTTCATTATATTTTTTCCAGAGTTAATAATAATGTGGCTGCTCTTTTTGTTTGTTACGAAGCTCTAAGCTTTTTGACCAGTTTTTTGTCTAGCTCAGCGATGGAGACTTTACTTCTCCAAAGGGGCTTATTATGTGTACTCATCGAAAAACGAGTTATTTACCATTATAAAACAGACACACATACCCTTGCAAAATCAGTAAATTATGGTCCTTTTAAAAAAGATGGTGGGCTTCTGGCTGGAAGATAATTAGCTTCTTCCTCCCGCCACCTAAAATCTAAATTGGACCTTTTTTGTCCTATTTTTATGTCTCACTCAAATATTTTGCTTTATGTAGATAAAAAGGGGTGATAGAACATACAATGGTTCTTATGTTCAGTTAATATAGAGAAAAAAAAAGGTTCTTGGCAGTTAAATGATCAATAGGTACAACTAATGGCATTGCAAACATCTATAGAGGGAACAGCACAGAAGCAAGTAAAGGGGCTGCTTGAAGGGGTAATGATATAAACATACTTTGATGCAGAGTCTAGAGGAGTTTGATAACTTCAAGCTTGACATTTTGAATGAACAGCTTTGTGACAGCTTGACAGCATATATACTCACAGCAAAGGTCGGGGGGGATATGCGTGCAAGCAAGGGCTGCACATAAAAATATACTTACACCTGGGAGTTGACCTGTACATCTCCAGTCTTTCACTGATGGCTGAAAAATGGAGCAGTTGTTGGTTTACTGCCTTGCCCCGCGGCACTCTGACAGTGTTGAACAGAGGGGAACAATTATAAACTTTGTGCATTTTAAATGATTCTTTAAGGTATATTTGGATTTAGCTTGATGATGTCATGCTCATACCCCACTCTCAAACTACAGCTACTTCTCTCCTGCATCTTATTTATTGATTGCAAAATTGCTTTCTCAATCCTAAGAAAAAGGTTGTTGAGCCATTTTTCTTATATTGAAGTTATCAAACTGTCACCTGCAGCTTATATGCAGTGTATCAAAATGATTTATGTTTTAGCATATTAGGTAGTATGCAAAATCATAATGTAAATTTACCACTTTGTGATTGTGGGTCACCTTTATTTTATGTCTATATGAAAATCCAAAGGTACAGATGTACACACAAAGAGTGATATTACATCACACTGGTCATATTTGACTTACAGCCTACACTTCT